GCTGTGTGTTGTGTTCAGGTGCTGTCCGACACTCTGTCTCCCACCTGGAGCGAGTGTTTGCTGTTCGACAGGGTTCTGCTGGAGGGAACCATGGAGGAGCTGCAGAGGGACCCGCCGCTCGTCATCATCAGCATCTACGACCACGACACCGTGGTAACCCAGCCTGCAGGGAACGTTCCCACAACGTCACCCCTGAGCTTTTAAATCAGTTTAAGAACATGTCCAATCATGTTCTTGTAAAATTAACATCAACTTTCAGAGGAAGTTGTCAGGAACACAGAGTATGTTCCATGATAACAAAGGAGGAACGTTCTCAAACTAACATCCCAAGAATGTTTTCCAGATGTTATCGAGGCCTCTGATTATTTTTATAAAACGTTACTGTATTGCGATATATGAACAGAGGTGGAACGTTCATCTGCAGTGTTCAGTGTTCCTCAACAACATCATCAGAACATCCCCAGAACACTGCGGATGACCAGAGGTGGAACGTTCATCCACAGTGTTCTGGGGATGTTCTGATGATGTTGTTGAGGAAACATAGTCTCGAACATTCTTCTATAAAACATAATGATAACAAAGGAAGAACGTTCTCAAAACAACTCTCAAAAAACCCATCTGAAACACAGATTTTATCGAGGCCTTAGATGGCGGAACGTTTTTAGAACGTTCCTGTATGTGAGGTGGAACATTTTGCCTTTTTGTTGAGGGAACAGATTATAGAACGTTCTTCGATAAAACATTTCCGCAATGATGATGAAGGAAGAATGTTTTCAATACAACATTTAGAAAATGCTTTCAGGATGTTATTTAGACCTCAGATGACAGAACGTTCTTTAAAGGACGTTCCTGTAATGTGACATAGTAACAAATGCTGGAACATTCTGGCTGCAGTGTTCTTTTAATTACCTCCATACCTGTTCCATCTATGTGTGCAGGGCAGTCCGAAGCCTCTGGGTCGAGCTTACGCTGAGCCTCAGTTCAAACCGGTCGAGTTGTTCTACAGGAAGCCCAGCCTCCACTTCTATGACATCAGCATGGGCAGGATTCCTGCTGGAGAGCTGCTGGGAGCCTTCGAGCTCATTGAACTGGACTACTCTGGATTTGGAGAGGTGACATCTGTCAATCAACTAAACAGTCGATCAATCAATCAGTCAGTGTCTCTGTGTTTACACTTGAAAAGATAGAAAATAAGAGCGTTCTTGTCTGCAGACTGGGAGTCGTCTAGTCAGACAGTGTTCTGGTTTATATCCTCAGACATTCATTTATAAATGTCATCAACACCTTTTGCTCTGATGCAGCCTCATACCATCACCTCCACCTCCTTCTTCACTGTCAGGACGATGCGATAGAGCTACTATGGCTCCTTCTAGACCTCCTGGTTACTGCTCACGCTGGGCTTCACTGGTTTTTAGTTTATTTTCCTGAATCATTTTCCATCTTTGTGAAGTCCCACAGTCAGATTTTTCAGTTCCTCTGTTCAGTTCTTCTCCATGTGGAGCCATGATGCAGACATAGACACAGCTCATAGGTCCACAACTGAGAAGGTTCTGCTGTTCACAGCTCATTTTAGAACCATGTTCAAGCAGTTAGACTGATTGGAAATCACAGCTGGACTCAGTTTAGTTTCGGTGATAACAGCTGGATTCGCTTTTGTTGTATTCAGTTTCTTTAGTGCTGTAATTTTCAATGTAGTCTTTTCTAAAATATTTGTTTTTGTTTGTTTATAAGAAACAAAAACAAAAACTATCCTGTTTTTCAACTTAAAAAACAATGCAGTTATTAAACGCTGATGCAACGTTGAATTATTTGACATGTAAGCGATATGACACAGGAGCCCAGTGGCTTCTATTTTATACTGTACTACACTTACTGTACCTGTGTGAACCACTGTTTTCTTAGATTGTTGCTCAGCTGTTTGATCTAGTGGTTTATCTACATATCTGTTGGTTTGCGTCCAGCCTGTCTGATCCTCTGTTGACCAATCACACTGATTAACTTGGTCACTGAAAGTAGAAAACATGGACCAAACTACTAAAATAGGGTCAGAGTTGTGATAAACAACAATGATCCTTTAACCTAAACACAAAAGCACAGTATGCATGCTAAGTGTGGTCAGTGAACCAGAACATCCTGTCCTCTGCAGCCCTGCCTCCCCAGCAGCGTGGACCCTCATGAGCTGACCTACATGGACGAACAGAGATGTTACGTCATCCCAGAAGGAGTCCGACCGGTTATGAAGACCTTCAGGATCGAGGTTGCACTCACTCAGACAAACACCAACACTCTGTTGTCATGCTTTAGGTGTGTTTTGTGTTTGTTTTTTGGCCTGAAAGACACGACAGACACTACAGATCATGTGCAATGCATGTTTTGACTTGCCTTATCGGTTAATGTGTTGTTTTTAATTGGTTAAACAGAATCTACGAGTAGAAATGAACATAAACTAATCGATTAATGGACAATCATCAACATCCCGAGTATTAACTCCAAAAGTCCCACAAGATAACAGCTGCACCTCATAAAACAGGTCTCACACAAGCCTCAAATCCTTTCTGTCCAGTGTAGGACGCTGTTCTGTCTGTGGTGTGTTCAGGTGCTGTTCTGGGGTCTTCGGGAGCTGAAGCGGGTGCAGCTGTTTGAGGTGGAGCGCCCCCTGGTGAGGGTGGAGTGTGCCGGACGACAGCTGGAGTCTGAGGAGGTCGAGAACTACCAGGTTCACCCAAACTTCAAAGAGGTGGTCCGCTACATCGACGTGGTCAGTTCCCGTTGACGGCTACGAGTTATAGTTACTAACCCAACCGAAAGGGAACGTTGTCACAACATTAGTTAACGCTACCTACCTGGTTTTAGTCATTTTTTAAAGAAGACATTTTAATCAAATGTTCAAAGAATGTTCCTGAAAAAATATGTTCCAGTAATGTTCCTGTGAAGTTGATATAACGTTTTACAGTCAACATTTAGAGGAAGCTGTCAGGAACACGGACGATGTTCCATGATTACAAAGGAGGAACGTTCCCGAACTAAAATACAAAAAAAGTTTTTCAAAAGTTATGAAGGCTTCAGATTATTTCCTGTGATGTGACATGTTAAGAAAGGTGGAACATTGTGCCTGCAAGGTTCTGAGGATGTTTTAAGGATGTTATCGAGGGAACAAATTACAGAAAGTTCTTGATAACAAAGGAAGGATGTTCTCAGACCAACATTCAGGAAAGTTTTCAATGTGTTGTGAAGTCCTCTGAGTCTCTACAGAATGTCTTTTTTAGATGTTCCTGTTCTGTAATATATTATTAAAGGTAGAACATTCTGCCTCCAATGTTCTGAGGACGTTTTTGAGATGTTGTTGAGGAATGTTCTCCTCTCATGGTAACAATGGAAGAACGTCCTCCAACCAACATTCAAAAAATGTTTTCCTGATGTTGTCGAGGCCTCAGACCACAGAATGTTTCTTTTTATTTGTACAGAACGTATTATAACGTCCTCATAATGTCATATATAAATGGTACAATAGTTTGTATTTTATATTGATGCTGCTGAGGGAACACAGTATAGAATATTCTTCTAAAAAACATTTCCACAATGATGACTAAGGTAGAATGTTCTCAAATCAATATTCAAAGATGTTATGGAGACTTCAGATGACAGAACGTTCTTTATAAATGTGGTACATTACCAAAGGTAGAACATTCTGGCAATGTTCTAAGGACGTTTCAGGGAACACATTATAGAATCTATAGAACGTTTCCGCAATTTCTCAAAATGTGCCATGATAACAAAGTAAGAACGTTCTCGGTGTAACATTCAGCGTTGAGAACATAAAGACATAACGATTTAAGAATGTTGTCACTAAACATATTTAGAACATCTTCAGTTATTCTATCTTGAAAAACAGCATTCTGGCAACTAAAAGAAAACTTCCCACTGATAATACCAGTAGAACTTTGCAGAATGTTCTCCGTTGTGTTCATACAGAACAGAGACACAACAAAACCACCTGTTCTCCTGTTTGTTCTGTTTGGGTTCGGTTCTACCAGGAGCTGCCGGAGCAGTCTTACCTCCATCCTCCTCTGACGGTGTTCGTGGTGGAGCATCGGGCGTTCGGTCAACTTGCTCTGGTCGGGTGTCATGTGGTCCAGAACCTCATGAACTATGGCCCCCGGGAGCTCGAAAGGGAGCCGGAGGAGGAAGAGGAGGAACCGAAGCCAAAAGGTTAGAACGAGACAAGATCAAGTTCGATGGCTCAGATTCAATCCAAGTCAAATCCAGTCCTGATAATACACTAATACAGGTGTTGACGATTAGCTGTAGTACTTGGCTGCACCACCAGGTGGAGTGTTTTACTGTTTGATGCTGTAAAGGGAGGCAGGCAGGTAATGTTGGCAAGCAGAGAGAACTGTAGTGATTTAGCTGGTGAAGAGGCACCATGACAAAGTCTTCGGTGCCACTTCATGACGTCCGACAAGCGCACATGTCGTCTTTGAGGCCACATCATGAGTCTGTGAATTAAAACAGCAGCGTCACTGCAGAACAGTCCGGTCTGCTCAACTCATACCACAGATTAAAACAACTATTAATTGAAAGTAAAGGATTTATGAAGAAAGTTGTTCACATTTAGTGAAGTTGATTTGTAAGTCTCTTTAGTAAGAAATAAAAGGAAAATAGAAGTAACGTGCACATGTATATAAAAACAGAAATAAATCAGAACAAAATGGCTTCTAAAGACCACAAAAACTGAAATATTACTTAATAAACCAAACCCAAGTAGAACAGATTTGTGGATTTCTCCAAATATAGCTGCGCTTTACTGGGTTTTTTTTTTTTTTTTTGTACTTCTGGTTGGATGCTCAACTGCATTTTTTTTGTCTCTGTGCAACAACAATGAAGTTAAATCTAATCTCATGAGTTGTCATCATAAAGCAAATTCAACATATTGCTTCTTGCTTTCAATAAAGTCTGATTCTATGTGAAGTGTCCAGAACCCTGCTGTCGAGCGTCTAATAACTAACTGAGCTGATCTGTTATTAATTAAAACTAGAAGTGAGAATTAACTGAAGTTTCTTGATTGAGTCTGACGTCATGTTTCTGAGAGAAAAGTTCTCTGATGGCACTCGTTGTTTTCTGGACGCTCTTCTTCTGTTTGTCTCTGCAGTGAGACAGAACTCGGTGAAGATGAACCCTCTGATGTCGATGAAGAACATCGGACTCAGCGGTCTGACGGTCAATCAGTCCAAGATCCCCATCAACCCCATCAAGCTGGTCAATGTGAGTAGATCAATCCCTCCCCAGAGTGCTGGAGACACTCATCTGAAGCTGTTAATCAGATTTAAAATATGTAAAAAACGAGCTGATGTGCACTTTGCTGACTGATTTAAATGAACTGGTGCAGGCGCCTCTGAAGAAGCTGATGAAGAACGGAGAGGAGCTGGAGGAGGAGGCGCCGGAGAAGGAGGAGCTGGACTGGTGGTCCAAATACTACGCGTCCCTGGAGGAGCTGGAGAGGCAGGTCAGACTCCGAAATATGAAGATTAAAGTGTTTAATAATAATGCAGATAATGAATTAAAAACAAAGACATGATTAGAGATAAAATAAAACTTTAAATAAAGGGTCATTCTGCAGATTTTACACTTCAAAAAACATGTTTCTCTGAAGCAAACTTTAATTTTTTGTCAAATTTATGAATAAGATACACAGAATAAAGTGATTTTAATGAAATGTCATAATTGTATGATTAGTTCACTGCTGAAATGTTCAACATCTGATTCTTCGCGTCTCCACACTGTCTGATTGATAAATGGTGTTAAACATAGCATGCCCTCCAACTCGCCAGTGGGTTTTGGGGTTCAGAGAGAAAACAAAGACATGAGTAGAAATAAATTAAAACTTTGAATGAAGGGCAAAGAACATGTTTGTTTTATGCAAATGTTTAATTTTTTTTGGTCAAATTTTAAAAAGAATGATTTTGATTAAATGTCACATTTTCTAGCTGAAGATTGGTTACACATAATTACTTTAAATACAGCTGAAATGTTCAAAATCTGGTTCTTTCTGTTTTTACAGTTTTCTGACTATTAAATGGTGCCAGTTTAGTCATTTTTAAAGATAACTTTCCCGAGTTTTGAGGTTGAGACAGACTAATGCAGATATAAATTAAAAATCAAGACATGAGTAGAGGTGAATTAAAACTTTGAATGAAGGATAACTCTACAGACTTTACACACAAAGAACATGTTTGGAAATGTGAAGTTCAATTAAATTAATTTAACATGGAAATAAATAAACAGGTGTTTCTTTTTGCCTTCCATAGATCCTGTAATTCTTTTCTTTTTTAATTAAAAAAAAAAACAACAGCCAGATTTAAGGCATTCTTATGAAGCAACAGGATATTTTTGTTAGAACTATTTAATCTTATAGTTTTATAGCAATTAACACTCTGAACTCCAAGCAGCGGCTTCTGGCTGTTTATTTGCTCCTGTTGCATTTTTCATTCATATCTCAAACCTGCTGGCATGTTTTAGATTTTAGATTTTTAAGTGAAACCATAATTGGAATAAAAGTTTAATTTTTTTCTGTCATATTTGCAACGTGTTCCTGTAAATTCCGAATAAAGAAAACAACTTTTAATTAAACCACTAAAAATGTCCATATTTTCGCTCTAAATAAAACAATAACTGCTGTAATCGATGACTTCTTTGGTGTTTGCTGCCTGCAGGCTGCTGAGAAGGAGGAGATGGAGGAACAAGCTGAGTCAGGTACAGTTAACTCCTTCTGTCACATTTCAGCCATAATGATGCATATTTTACGTTGGTATGTTTAGCTGCGGTTCCTCTCGTGTCCACTAGATGTGTGTTTTGTTTTCTGCTACTCTGTCCGACTGAGTAAGATCACTGCCCGGACTTTTACCAAAAAGTGAGCAGAGCGCTTATTTAGACACGATGCCGACACGTTCGAGTGTCGTCCAGATCAACAAACTGATAAAGTTTTGTTCTTCGTACAGATGGAGCCAATCTGACGATGGCGAACATCGAGGAGGAGGAGGAGGAGGTGGTGGTGGTGGAGATCGAACCTCCCAAACGAAAGAAGATTGCCACGCTGAAGGTGGGAGATCATGACCATCATCGCAGCTTCAGAGTTCTCTTAGAAAAAAGAAACGAAAAACAGATTTGACAACAAGGCCGACAACCACAGAGACACGTGAACCATCTGAACTTCATGTGCAGGCAAATATGTTCCACAAGAACGTCCTTTAAAAATCATCTGACGCCTCGATAACGCCTGGAAGACACTTTTTGAATGTTAGTTTGAGAACGTTCCTCCTTTGTTATCACAGTACTACCAGTAACTCGATATAAAGTTAATAGAATGTTTTAAATGAGGAACACAGATTATGTTCCATGATAACGAAGGAGGAACGTTCTCAAACCAACTTTCAAAACATGTTTTCTAGATGTTATTGAGGCCTCAGGCGACAAAACGTTTTTTTATACACAAAGTTTATATAATTTGTTTGTGACATATTAAGAAAAGTGGAATTTTCTTCCCATTTTGTTGAGGGAACACATTATGGAACGTTCTTCTACAAAACATTTCCACGATGACAATAAAGGAAGGATGTTCTCAACACAACATTTATAAAAACGTTTATCATAACCTCGAATTATAAAACGTTCTTCATTAAATGTTCCAGTAACGTGACATGTTAACAAAAGTGGAACATTCTGCCTGAAACCTTCTGAGGACGACGTTGAGGGAACACATTATGGAATCAGTGGAACGTCGCCACAATGTTCTATCATAACAAAATAAAAGGGTTCTTAGTTCTACATTCAGTTTTGAGAACGCTCGGGTGCAACGGTCTAACAATCATCAAACATTTTTAGAGCGTCTTTAGTCATCCTGCCTGTAAGAAGAACATTTAGGGAACTATAAGAAAACTCTACTAACAGAACCTTCTCAGGATGTTTCCGGAACTTAAAATTCTAGCTGTATCTAGTATGTGGAGAAGATTTTAGAGCTTTCTCCTGGTTTGTGTTCAGCTGTACGGAGGCGACCTGGAGTCTGAGTTCCATCAGTTCCAGGACTGGCTGCAGACGTTTCCTCTGTATAAAGGCCGAGCGAGCAGCGAGGACTACGAGGAGGACGATGAGGAGAGGCTGATGGGAAAATACAAGGTCTGCCTGCCTTCTGTCTGTCTGTCTGTCTGTCTGTCTGTCTGTCTGTCTGTCTGCCTGTTAGATGTTCTTCATCATTCCTGACTCTCTGTCCTTCAGGGCTCCTTCCTGGTTTATCCCATCGATCCAGAGGACACCGAGGACACTCAGTGTCAGATCACCAACGGAATCCCCAAAAACACGCCCATCAAAGTCTTGGTCCGAGTTTACGTCGTCAAGGTACCGGATTTACTCCCATCAGCAGTCTGAGGTTTTAGACAACAGCATTTTGATGCCTGAACCAGATATACATTCATACCCAGAGCTGAATTATGTCGGGCTGAAGGTTATTACACCCTCTGAGCTCCAACAGCTTCTGGTTGTTTCTTTACTCCTGTCTCATTTTTCTCCACCGTGTGTTTTTTTTAATTATTTATTTGTACAAAAAATGAAGTCAACTGGAATCAACATGTATGATATGTTTCCAAAGGTCCTCAGGTGTTACTGGAAAGATGGTGGCTCTACATACTAAAGATATTTAACTTTATCCATTTTTATTTATTAGTTTTTTTAAAAAGTATTTGTCTCCTTTCTGCTTTGTGGAAACACTGCCTGAAGTTCACCCACAAATTACAGCTGAGCCACGAATGGCTTCATGGATACGTCATGGAGCACAGAATTTTTATTTATTTATTTTTTCCAGAATTTAAGCAGAGCAAACATTTTATTTTTGGTGAATTTTTTAGTGAGACATGTAGAATAAAGTGATTTCAATGGATTGTGACAATTCCAACCCAACTGCATGTCACATATTCAGAGTGTTGGACAGTTGAACACTGGTTGGGTTTTTTAAGAAGTTTTCACAGTTTCTGGCTGATAAATGAAGTCATTTTGGGGATTTTTATTTTTAGATAAATGCTTTCAAACATGCTGGCAGTTAAACCCAGTTCGTGTTCTGTTGTTGGTTCTACTGTTTCTGTTCGTGTTCTACTGTTGGTTCCACTGTCTTTCTTTGTGTTCTACTGTTGGTTCCACTGTCTCTGTGTTCTACAGGCCACCAGCTTGGCTCCCACAGACCCGAACGGTAAAGCCGACCCGTACCTCGTGGTCCAGGTTGGAGAGCAAAGTCTGGACACCAAAGACCGATACATCCCCAAACAGCTGAACCCGACCTTCGGAGAGTCAGTACCGATAGAACCCGTCCAGCTGTCTGCCCAGCTGGTTCTGACTCTGTTTAACCGACGGTCCTTCTGCGTTTCAGGGTGTTTGAACTCACGGTGTCGTTCCCGCTGGAGACCGAGCTGGTTGTCACGGTTATGGACCACGATCTCGTCGGCGCCGATGACGTTATCGGCGAGACACGGGTCGACTTGGAGAACCGGTTCTACAGCCGACACAGAGCCTCCTGCGGCCTGGCTCTGTACTACGACACGTCAGTACCACACCTTACAGCATCAGTACTACAACATATTAGTACCAGAACTGTGACGAATTAGAATGGGCTTATTCCACATAACATCTGATAAATCTGGTTAAAGTTCCCCCGGACCTCCTCAGAATCAGCTGATTCTTTATCTACAATATGAAGTCATGCAAAGTTTTAGCTTCAGAGGTTCTGTGTTTCTGTTTCCTGATAATTCTCCAGAGAAACCTTTACAAAGTGCATTCTGGGTAAACTTTCAAGGATCATATCAGCATGTGTGATGGTGGTTGGTCAGAACAAGTTCTAGACAATAAAAGGATCATTCTTACCTACATCTGATACCAGGATCATCTTCTACATTATTCACTCAGTGGAAAAATCATTTTCTAATAAACGGTACAAGAAACATCTCTGTAGGAGCTCTTCCAGGGTGGAGATAAAAGTACCTGCAAATGTCCAATTATCAGGTCCTTTTCCTTCATGAGAATTCTACTTATCAATCCCAGATGTATTCACTGTTACTTCTGATTATACGGTCTGCTGATCTTTGAATCACTTCCTGCTTCTCTCCACAGTGACGGTTACAACATGTGGCGCGATGCTAAGAAGCCGTCCACCATCTTGGCTGAGCTCTGCAGGAAGAACGGCATCCCGTCTCCAGAGTATCGACCGCATGAAGTCAAAGTCCTCAACAAGATCTTCAAAATACCACCAGACGCAATACCTGAAGGTAGGACAGACAGACGGATGGACGGACGGACAGATAGATGCAACCAGACTCACCTAGACAATAAGTAAAGGATTGTGAACCTCTGACTGATGGAAATAGTGATCAGTCTGTAACTGATTGATAAGGCAGCAGTGTTACACATCTCGTGTCTAAAAAAGGCCTGAGCAGCTCTAACATCAGTGTTCTTGTTGTCCTTGTTGTTTTAGTCCATGTTGTTTCTTGTTGTTCTTGTTGTTGTTCTTGATGTTGTCTTTATTATTGTTCTTGCTGTCCATGTTGTCCTTGTTGTTGTTCTTGTTGTTTCTTGCTGTCCATGTTGTTGTTTTTGTTGTTCATGTTGTTGTTGCTTCTTGTTGTTCTTGTTGCTGACCTTGTTGTTGTCCATGTTGTTGTTGTTTCTGGCTGCTCTTGTTGCTTACCATGTTGTTGTCCATGTTGTCAGTTCTGCTGAAGAAGAACGAACGTTCTCTGGAGGAGGAGGCAGAGATGGAGCAGCACTCCGCCCTGAGCGTGCTGCAGCGCTGGGGGGAGATGAACGAGTTCCTCCCTGGAGCCATCCCTCTGGTGCCAGAGCACGTGGAGATCCGGTCTCTGCAGAACCAGAGCAGCCTTGGCCTGCCGCAGGTAACCACCGCACCACGTTCAGGAGAACACGCTGCTGCTGCTGCAACTAGACGTCGTTAACAATGTGGGTATCTTCATGCTGCAGGGTTACCTTCACATGTGGGTGGACATGTTCCCCACCGACGTTCCAGCTCCGCCTGCTGTGGACATAAAGCCCCGCCTCCCCGAACAGTACGTCACCACACTGTTGGTACAGAACCACAGAACAAGGACAGAGTTCTAAGGATATCTTTGTTGTTGTTTCCATGGTGACAGGTACGAGCTGCGGGTGATCATCTGGAACACCGATGACGTGTTTCTGGACGACGTCAACCCGTTCACAGGCGACCCGTCCTCCGACATCTACGTCAAAGGGTCCGAGTCACTCGTACTGACGGTTTTTACATTTTTACTACAGACTCAGTCCAGTTTGATTGGATCAGAACCATCGACTCAGGTTGTTCTTTGTTCTCCTTTTGACTGTGAAGGTTCCACAGCTGGCATAGAACGTTCCCACAACATTAGAGAACATTTCAGGAATATTTTAGTGTCTAATAATGTTCCTATGAAGTTAATGTAACGTTTTAGGACGTTGTCAGGAACACAGATTATGTTTGATAACAAAGCAGGAAGGTTCTCAAATCAAGGCTTTAGATCACTTTTGTCAGATGCTCCTGTGATATGACATCATGATAAAGGTGGAACATTCTTCATACAGTGTTTTGAGGAGGTTTTGGGCATGTTGTTGCAGGAACATATTATAGAACCTTCTTCTATAAAACATTTCCCCAATGAACAAACAGAGAAGGTTCTCCTTTTAGGATGTTCTTGTAATGTGATATATTAACGAAGGAGGAACATTCTACCTGCAATGTTCAAAGGATGTTTTGGGGATGTTGTTGAGGGAACACATAGAATCTGTGAGATGTTCTCACAGTATGTGACAATGGTACATGATAACAGAGGAGGGAACGTTCTCAGTCCAACACTTGGTTCTGAGATCATTAGGACATTATGGTCTAACAATGTTATCGTCAAACATTGTTAGAACATCTTTAGTTATCCTACATTGAAGCAGAACATTCTGAGAACTAAATCAAAACTTCCCGCTGAAGATATTTGCAGAGCTTTGAAGAACTTCCTCAGAACACTGTTGGAACAAACCAGTTCTAGCGGGTTCACTGTTCTGTTGTGTTCTCCGTGCAGCTGGATTAAAGGACTGGAGGGAGACAAACAGGAGACTGACGTCCACTTTAACTCTCTGACCGGAGAAGGAAACTTCAACTGGAGATTTGTTTTCCGCTTCGACTACCTTCCTACTGAGGTACAAACGTTCTGGTGCCTCCAAGGCTGCAGCTAGTGGTTGTTAGCAGTGATGTCGGTGTTGTACCTGATATGTACTACGTGTCGTATTGCAGGATTTTAATTCTTAATATTTATCTCAGGTAAATTCACACATTAACCACTAACAGGGATGTTTGGTAGCTGTGTGGAACCCAGCAGCCTCTCTGTTGTGGTACCAGTGGTTTATGTTCTCAGTTTGGTTCTCCTCCTGCAGAAAGAGGTAGTTTATAAGAAGAAGGAGTCCATCTTCTCTCTGGAGGAGTCCGAGTTTCGTCAGCCAGCTGTTTTGACGCTGCAGGTCTGGGACTACGACCGCATCGCAGCCAATGACTTCCTGGGTAAGACGCTCACAAATATCATCCAGTATTTACGTTTATCAGCCAGTTCTTTGGTTTATTCACAGACATTCATGGAGTATCTATAAATATCCTCTCCTCATTACCTTTTACATCTCGTACATCCACATCATCACTCTCACCTCCTTCTTCACTGTCAGGACGATGCATCCACTGTGGTCGTCCTGGTCAGGTTCACACCAAACATCTGGACTCCATCTGAGCCCAACAAGTTTATCTTTAATGTTCTCCAACATTCATCAGGCTTCTTTTTATGCATTTTAGCAAAGCGTAACCTTGAGATTTTGTTCTGCAACAGCAACACGTTTTATTTTGTCCATAGAGGTTGATGTTCTGAAGTGTTCTTCACACTGTCTGAGCTTCACAGAAATGAAAATTCACAGAAATTTAGATTATTTTGCACAGAGGTGTGGCCGCTTTACTCATTTACTGTAGTCCTGAGCTTCTTTTTCATGTGACATTCAGGCAGCATCGTGACATGAAACAGTTTCACCACTAAACCACTGCTCATGATACTGAAATCTTCCTCCTCCTCCTTCAGGCTCCCTCGAGTTTCGTCTCAGCGACATGGTGCGACCGGCAAAGTCTGCCGGTAAGTGCACGATTGAGATGGCGAAGGATCGGGCCAGCCCTCGGTTCTCCATCTTTCGTGCCAAGAAGATGAAGGGCTGGTGGCCGCTGATCCGGCTGAAGACAGCCGAGGACTTTGAGAGGGAGGAGAAGGAAAAGGAGGAGGCCAAGAAGAAGAAGAAGAAGGGAAGCAAGAAGAAGAAGAACAAGAACAAGAGAAGCCAACTGAAACAGGAGGACATCCAGTACACCGACAGTCTGGGCAACACTTTCCTGTTAATGGTAAAAAATGAAACACTAAGTTGATCTCAAACTAATGCTGCTCAACAAACTAAGACAAAATTTGAGATTCACTATTTGACTCCTTTTTCAACAAATATTATTACATAGGAACAAAAAACACCAGAAACAGCTGCTTTAAGTTTTGGTTATTAAGAACCGTTTCACTGATGTTTCAAATTTCATTGAACGCGGCTGAATACAGAAAACAGAAGCCCACCTTAACCAGACCTTTGCTGCTTATTATTGGAATAATTCACTCAAATTATACAGGAAAGGAGAAAGGAAAAAGAAATATTATTTGAGAACCTGCCACTGTAATTTCCATGCAAATGCAGATATTAATTGTGGGCTAAACTACAGTTTGAGTGCTGATGGTGGAGCTGACGCTGTGTTTGTCTGCAGGGGAAGGTGGAGGCGGAGCTTCAGCTGGTGCCGCTGGAACAAGCCGAGGCAAACCCTGTGGGACGAGGACGCAAAGAGCCAGAACCTCTGGACAAACCAAAGTAACGCTAACACACATACAGAGCCGCACAGTTTATGGAGTATTTAGGATGATTTGGATTTCTCACAATTAAATGAACACAGTCGATGCTCACAGAAAGCGGTCCATGTAGATAAACCCACCTGGTTTCAGGTAAATCTGACATTAGAACTCCTTATTTGACTGTCTGAGCTGCTGCAGTAACTGATGGAGACTAGAAGCTTCTCTGTGCACAATGACTGGGAGGCGTTTAGGGAACATCTGGAAACTTTGGCGTCTGTAGATAAGCAGCTGTTCAGCCAGTGAGGAGTTTTCAGCTCAATTTGATTTATATTCAGCCTCTAGGAGATGATCTGAATTCAGCTGAAGACTGTTTTTGTCTGTTTTGATACAGATTTGTACATCAGCAGGAATGTAGCACAACATAATGTGAAAGCAAAACTCTGGTGTCTGGCGTGAAAAGGTGTGAACAAACTGTTGTCGTCAGGTGTAAACTGTTGTAAACCGTTATCAGGTTTGAAAATCTATAAATAGGCGTATGTTGGTGTAAACTGTGAAAAGTGGTATAAACAGGGGTCAACTTGTGTAAATTAGCACAAACAGGTGTGAACTGGTGTAAACAGAAGTACAGTAGTAAAAACAGGTGTAACTGGTGTAAAAAACAGTAAACCTGTGTAAACAGGTGTAAACTGTTGTTAAAAAAAAAAGAGTAAACAGGTGGAAACAGGTGGAAACTGAAGTAGACAGGTGTAAACGTAAACAGGTGTAATCTGGCATATTTAGGTGTAAACAGATAAAAACCGTTGTAAATAGGTGTAAACTGGTGTAAAAAAAAAAAAGAATAAACAGACGTAAACTGGTGTAAACTGGTGTAAAAAAATAAATAAACTGAAGTAAACAGATGTAAACTGGTGTAAACAGTTGTAAACTGGTTTAAACTGGTCTAAACCGTCTCCTGTTGTCTCTCCAGCCGTCCCACCACCAACTTCTCCTGGTTCGTCAACCCGATGAAGACCTTCATCTTCCTCATCTGGAGGAAATACAAGAAGTACATCATCGCCCTGATCATCCTGCTCATCCTGGCGGTGTTCCTCGTCCTCCTCGTCTACACGATGCCTCAGCAGATCACCGCCCTCATCGTCAAAGGATGAAGAAACCAGCGGAGAGTCGTCGTCGCCCGGACTGTCTCAGGTTTCTGATCCTGAACTGATCAGTGTCACATTTACTGCTGATGTCTGTGGAACAAATCTGTGTGATCTAATGCAGCCTGACTGAACTACATTACCCAGCATCCTCGCTGTCGTTGTGCTTCTCAGGGATCTGAATTATTGTCAGATGAGCGAACACTTTTTCCTTCAGATTTGAGCTTCATATTAACACTACATCATTTTCATCGTGTTTGACTGTAACATTAGAATCAGCACCTTTCCTCCACTGAGACCCAAACCACTGTAATGAGTCTATTTTTTATGATTGTGCTTGTAGTCATATTTTTTTATCCTAAATGTAAATTAAGTCAGTATATTTAAATACATTCATATTTTAGTTTAATTTTGCACTGACTCAGCAATGAAGTTAATGTTTGTATTTGTACCAGTTTGAAAATGATTAATCTGAACGTTATCTTCTATTTCTGACACATAAATATTAACATCAGTTACAAACAACGATTCCGTTGTGATTATTTGTCCTCTTATTCATGTCTCAGTTTCAGGCATAATCAAACTTTTGTAATATTTAAACCTGGATTTCGCTCACCAGTCTGACCAAATCAAACCAATACAACAATACAAAAACATTCCACTACCAGCAAAGGTTCTGCGTTAAACATCCTACTTTGGTAAAAGTACACGAGTATCAGTAGCAAGATGCAGTTGAATTATCAAGTAAAAGTCCTTGTTTGGTTCTTCTGAATAAGCTTATATGTGACTCAACGACCTTGGTTGGTCCTCAGTTGTTAATGTGGCATTTAAAGCTCCATACTGTCTTTGTTTTCTGCAGATTAATTAAAGTCTCTCATGTCTCCAGAATGTGGTTTTCAGTGTTTTAGCTCCAAACACCACATAGAAGGCTGATTTCTCCATGACTGTTTAGCTTTAGTTTGCTGGCCCCGCCCCCTTCAGGAAGAACACTCTCTATTATTGACAGATGAATGAGTGTGTGAGAGCAGGACTTTCTATCCTCTAAGTTTCAATCTGAGGATCATTTTACTCGAAAGATCTGTAAATTCTTAACTCCTGTGTTTGAAGAGTTTGTCAGACGACGTTGTAAAATCTGTGTTTTAGCTGCAAAGCAGCGGCTTAGACATGAAGTGGCTGCTGGTTAACATGTCGTCTGAATGAATTTCAGTCACTTTTTCATCCTCGTTCTGCTGTCTGACAACAGAAACAGAAAAATCTGTGAATGAGAACAGCTTTGTTGTGAGTTCTGCTGTATTAAAATGCAGTTTATGTGAGCACAGAGAGCAGGAGAGAAGCTACCAGCAGCTGAGTTTAGACTAAACTGAAGTTCAACAGGTGGCATGAAAACCCAGTAACCCGCCCAGTCCTCGTTTATTTGTTGAAATTAAAGTTTCCACAGAGCTCAGACATGTGGCTATACCCTCAAAGCTAACCTTAGCGACAGAATGCTAACGTTAAGAATGTCAGTCTTCTGTTTTTGCACCTTATAGTTAATGTAAAAGGTCAACTACTGTTGTGGGGACATTACCATCAATAACAGTTAATCTGCTGTGTGTTCAGTTCATCAGATGCTGGGAGTGCATGAAGACTCTTGTGTTCACTTTAACAGCAGAACATTTGGTGAGTTTTTCTTATGGTTTAGACATTTTAGAGTTTAGCAGGAGCAGCTGTAGAAAGTAAATGAACCTGGTGGACTGTGAGGCAGCTGCTCATTCTGATTGGTTCACCTGGAAGCAGTGAGGGGGCGGGGCTATAGAAAGCTGGATGGCTATTGGTTCTTGTGTTTCTACATTTAAACTGAATTAAATTCTTACTAGTTATAACTGTGTAGTTGAGGGTGTTTAGAGGCTGACATAAATGTTGTCATGTTTTCACAGCTTTTATTTTACACCTCCACATTTTTTTTAGGACAAACAAAACAAAATAAAAATAGTTATTTTATTTTATTTTTTCCCCATTTGGGAGCCTTAAAGGCACTTTATGACATTTTCTTTCATGTGCTTGACACTTGAAGGTGATGAGATGTGAAGTAGCTCAGCTGTCAGACTTTGTCCTCGTCTCGTGTCTGAACCTCAGGAAGTTAGAAATGGTTTGTTTACAGACGTTTACTCTGATTGTTTCCTCTGAGACGCTGATGATGCTGCTTCATGTTGAGACAAAGACCAAATCTCCTCCCACACAGACTCACTGACTTTGAGGCAAAAGCATGAGACCTCTGATGACTTTTCAAGGCAATATTTACAATATTTTCTAAAATAATTGATCGACGAAGCTGCATTTTTTCTTTCACCAAGCGCCCACAGGTGACTGAGAGGAAAATAAAAGATACTGGATCAATAAATAAATGCAGCACGGCTCAGGAACACTGAACAGATTGTTGGAGATACATTCAACATGGTGAAACATCTTTCTTCATTTTTTTCTAAATGATCAAAGAAAGCCAACTTTAATTTTTGCTTTTTTACAGTTTATGTCATTCTACACTGAAAAAAGTCTTCAATACGTATTTCGTTCAATATGATCCCATGGTTCCAAAATAAATATGATTAAATATTGTAGTGTTGGCATGATGTTCAACCGTTTGACCTTTAATAGATCCGTTAAATTAATCCTAATACATTAAATTAGATGCTTCAGGCCAAAAGAAATATATTTAATAACGTTTAAATGTAAACGTTAATTCAATAAATGTGAGTAAAAATGTAAAAAGAGCAACAAACTGTTGAGAGGATTAAAGGAATTAAATTAATTACATGTTGGTTTTTTTTCCTTACATACATAAAGAGTCTGAATAGAACCATAAAAAGGGATTTTCAGATTATGGAGCTTTCAGAGTTTAATCCTATTTACATGTTTTTCTTTTTTTTTTTTTTTTTGGCAAAGAAATAAACTGGAAACGTTGAACTTCCTGCTTAAGTGCTTTAGTTAAGCAGCAGCAGCAGGTGTGACCTGCAGGAGCCTCCCAGTCCTCCCAGTTCTTCCAGTCCTCCTCCCAGTCCTCCTCCTAATCCTCCCAGTCCTCCTCCTAATCCTCCCAGTCCTCCTCCCAATCCTCCCAGTCCTCCTTCCAGTCCTCCGCCCAGTCTTCCCATTCCTCCTCTCAGTCCTCCCAGTCCTCCTCCCATTCCTCCTCCCAGTCCTCCTCCCAGTCCTCCTCTCAATCCCCCCAGTCCTCCTTCCAGTCCTCCCAGTTCTCCTCCCAGTCTTCCCAGTCCTCCGCCCAGTCTTCCCATTCCTCCTCTCAGTCCTCCCAGTTCTCCTCCCAGTCCTCCTCCCAGTCTTCCCATTCCTCCTCCCAGTTCTCCCAGTGCTCCCAGTGCTTCCAGTGTGCGTCTGTGCGCGGGCAGCAGTGCGCGCCGCCGCGGCAGAGGGGGGCTCCGCCGCTGTGCGCCGTGAACGCGCCTCTCCTCCATGCGGTTTGAATAAAGAAAGAAGCAGCAGCAGCCGGAGATGGACGGACAGGAAGCCGCAGCGGGGCGCTCAGGCCGGGCTGCTCCTCTCGTCTGAAGCCGGCGCCGGTGTCCGGAGGCTCCGGTTCTCCCGCTCGGCTCCTCCGCTCTTTGTCCGCCCGCTGCGCGCCGACAGCCGGCTGAGGACGCTGCACCGGAGGCGGATCGGTAGTTTGCAGGAGCAGAGTTTCTCTCAGTGATGTGATCTGCTGGATTTTATCACCTTTTGTTCGCTGCGCTCAGGAATCGGCATCAATTAGCGCCTCAATCAGCGCCAGGAAGCCCAGTTCGGTGTCGGTGCTGCGGGCTGGAGGCTCCGGTTCTCCTCCGACGGTCCACCGGCTCCACATTTCACATTTATCTGTGTTTTATCACCGCCGGCTGACTGGAGCGTCTGCTGCGCTCCGTCTATTGTGTTTAGCGGAGAGCCTGTCCCGGTCCAGCCCGGTCCAGCCCGCCGTGACCCGGTCCAGCCCGGTCCAGCAGCAGCAGCAGCAGCAGCAGCACCATGCCGGAGTGTGTGTCGGTGTGTGAGTTCGTGCAGGAGGTGCAGGAGGACTGGAGCTCTCCCACCACCTCCTCGTTCACCTCCAAGATGATCAGCTGCAGGAACACCGTCTACCTGCTGGAGGAGGTCAGTGCTGCTCATCCAGCTGCTGGTTCTGATCCAGCTGCTGGTTCTGATCCAGCTGCTGGTTCTGATCAGACGGGTTGTGGTTCGGCAGGTTTTTCTTGCTCAGTTAAATGACAGATCATATTTAGTAAAATTACTCAATATTTACTGTATTTAAATCATCAATTAAAATAAAAACCATAATTGATCCCAGTTTTGTTTACAGTCCTGCAAACATCAAGGAAGAAACAGGCTGCATGTAAAACATCAATAATCTGTGTTTTTAGAAATAAAAATATGTTCTTTTAGAACATTGGACTCCAAAACAACAGCTTTACAACAGGGATGAATGTGTATATATATCATTATTTTACAGATATTTTCCATTTTTTAAAGAAGCATTGTGTTTATTAAGGATTGAAAATGGTTAATATATAGTTTGTAATTGTTCTATTTTATTTTAATCAATTTTCCATTTTTTCCTTTAATTGCAGATAATACTGCAAACTGTTAATAACACCAGAACTGAAAGTCATGAACAGTAATTTATTCTTTTACAGCATTAGTATCACTCTAAAATAACAGATTTACTGTGTAACTCGACTGAAAAATACAATTATTTTTTACAGGTATTTGCCTTTTTTTGAAAGAACAATTAAGGATTTAAAAACTGTGAATCTTTTTTGTTTTTGTTTATTTTGTTTTATGGATTTTTTTCCCTGTATTTATTTTTAAAGTACAGATAGTACTCAGGGAAAATCACAGAAAAGATATGATAGTTAAAAAAACATAAAAACAAACTGTCAATAACGACCATATTGAAAATCTTGGACAATAATTTGATCTTTTGCAGTGATTGACTGCAACATTAGACACCTTTACTGCATTTAAATCAGTGAAAATATCAGTGTTTTACAGATATTTTCTATTATTTATAAGAAAAATCACCCATATTCATCACTCAGACATGGTAACTCATTTAACTGTATAAATTTCTTCTTTGTTTTTATAAATTGCAGATAATAAGTAGTCAAGTCTGAGGTAGTATTAAGTATTAATTTACATGCTGGCTGTAAGAAAACCAACAAAAACCAACACTGTAGATAACGTCCACATCAAAACATCTGTATTTCTATAAACCGTAGTTCCTTCAGTTACAACATTTGACTGTAAAATTACTAAATTTTATTTTACTGCATCTCATCCAGCAACACAAAAAAAGCTTTAATTTGTCATCGTTTGAAGGAGAAGCTCTGCGTTGAGGATTTTTTACAGTGTTCCTACTAAGGGGCCTCTGGGGAACCGGAGCTGCTGTGGTTCCATTCAGTAGAAGCTCCTCTCTGGATTACGTCGGCCTGCAGTTCTTCTATTTTCAGATCAGCGCTGAATATTACATGAACGTATTCTGCAACATTAAGCACATGTTTAAAGAAACATTACGGCCGACGCACGCAGAGACAGATGATACCTCCTCATGCGGAAGTCATGGAGAAAATCCATTTTTATAGTGTTTCGTTTGTCTTTAAAAACAGAGAATATGAAGACACCAGTTCTCTCCTTTACTAGATCCCAGCTTCACAACCAGAGAGAAGTTCACGTCGTTTCTCCAGCTGACAGCAGCCACTTCAGTCACAAGCTGCAGCTAAAAGACTCATTCTTATATCTTCGTCTTAGTTAAAATGCACAGAAAGTCTTAAACATTCATTCAATCACAGATTTAGGGAGTCTTCTTCCTGAAGTGGGCGGAGCCAGCAGCAGCTCAGCAACATTTAGGACAGAACTTAAACCAGTCATGGAGAAACCAGCCGTCTATGTGGTGTTTGGACACTGAAATAAACCTTTTGAGGACACGAGAGGCTTTGATTAATCTGCTAAGAAGAGGACCAATATGGGGGCTTTTAATTTGCCATCGATAACCAAACTAACTTTGGGATGAGAGCTCTGAACTGGGAACTGAATCATGTCAAGAAATTTCACCAAAAGATTAAAACGAGTCTTTATTTAGTTTGTTTATGAAGCTGTACATCACAAATGACTGCACAAACACAAGAGTGAAATGTTTCGGTTTTGCCACAATCTCAGCTGTAATGTAGAAACTGTGAGGATGTTTTGTAATTAATCTAATTAATGTGAATATTTAATGTGCTAAATCGAAGCTGTGGATGAAAGCTCACCAAGTTTCTGCCTCCAATCACCTCCCTCCGTCATAATAAATACTACTGAACAGAGAGGAGTCAATTAAGGCTTCTTAGAAAGTCATTTTTAATTACTTCTCTTCACAAAAGTGCGTCAATCTGCAGCGTATTCTAAAATTAGAAGAGCAAATTTTTTACCTCCAATCTTCTGACTGACGTGCAGCAGTGAGCTGAAGTCCTTGGTTTGATTCTTTCCTCACTGGTTGAGGAGGATTTTGTGTCTCGTATTGCTTCTTATGCAGCATTTTTCTCAGCAGCTTTCCACTTTGGTTGAATCTAAACCTTATTTTAAGGCAAAAAAAAAAAACACCAAAAGTTTCAGGCATTTGTTAAATCAGATTGCTTTGTGGGGTTCAGAAGGTTAAAAAAAGAAGACGTTTTAACAAAACACTTCACTGGACACCAGATCATCAACATAGATCATCACAATCATTTTCTCCTAAAAAGCTGTAATTTACGACCCTCCTTGAACGCAGCACCGGTGCTGAGTCCGCGGATTATCTGGCATCCTTATTAATACTCATCTCCGGCCCCTCATTACCGTCCAACGACAACAGCGATGAATACTAATGAGGACTAATCTGTTGCCGTGGTAACATATGCTGCCTCCGTCGGGGGTACACGGTGGGGGCAGGGGGG